TCCGGGATCGACTCTACATGTCGTGCTCATGATGCGCTTGTGGTCGTTTCCCTAGCTTCACATAAACCAAATGTGGTATTACGAGATGTTAATGGACGACGAAGGTAATCGACAAGTCCAAACATGATAATCATGATTTGCGGGTCATGTAAAACATGACGATATCTTACGCTCATAGCGCGCTCACGGCCATTTTGCTTGCTTTACATATACAAAAGTTGGTATTATGTGACGTGAATAACGACGAAAAAAATTCCAGGCATGAAAATGATACCCACGACATGGAAGTCAAGTACGGAATAACTCACGTCCGCCTCGTACGTCTGTGCTGATTTTAAATGGCATATCAACCTTTCTCATTCGTGTTTCGCATATCATCGATTCCCACTCATCGTGGGATCGATCATTTTTTTAATGAGAAGCATTTCTTAGGCTATTTAGGCGACATTGACCATATCTATTTATCTATCTATCTATCTATCTATCTATCTATCTATCTATCTATCTATCTATCTATCTATCTATCTCTAGCCACCTATGGCCTTTAGGTCTCCTGACTGTTTCGGTTATGCTATCTATACCAAAATTGGTAGGGCGTAAAATGGCTGTACGACAATCATAAGTAGTCATAACATAAAAAACAGCATGTATATTATGATTCATGTGCTTTACATTTCGTAGTATTGCTGATCTTGCTTTGGTTATGTTCACACATGCCATATTGCAAAACTGGTGTTGTATGGCATTACTATGGTGAACATAAGTGACAGATCCTAACGTGGAAATCATGACCTGCATGTCATAAATGTTATGACGACACGCCACGCTCATGGTGCGCTCGTGTTCATTTTGCTAGCTTCATATATAATAGATTGGTTTAAGGCGATGCCAATTGATGACGAAGGTATATGACTGGTGCAGGTATGATAAATATGAGATGCGTCATATAACAACGTGACTAATGCTACGCTCATGATGCACTTGCGGCCATGTTGCTAGCTCCCCTTATAAGAAATTCGGTATCATGTGAGGTCATTAGACGACGAAAGTAAAAGACTCGTCCAAACATGATAGTCATGATATGCGTGTCATTTAAAACATGACCACGTGGTACGTTCATGGCGTGCTCACAGCCGTTTCACTAGCTCCCAATATACCAAATTTGGCATCACGGGAGGAGATGTGACGACGAAGGTAATCTACACGTTCAATTATGATAGTCATGATATGCGTGCCATGTAAAACATTACTACGTGGTACGCTCATGGCGTGCTCACGGCCGTTTCAGTAGCTCCCCGTATACTATATTTGGTATCACGTGCCGTATTTTGACGACGACGGTAAAGGACACATCCAAACATGATAGTCATATATGCGTGTGTTGTCACACATGACTACGTGCTATGCTCATAGTGTGCTCGCAGCCGTTTCGGTTGCTTCACATATAGTAAATTTTGCATCATGTCAGGCGATGTGATGACGAAGGAAATCTGCACGGTCAAGTATGATAGTCATGATATCCGTGTTACGCGAAATATCACTACATGGTACGTTCATGGCATGCTAGCAGTCGTGTTGCTAGTCACCCGTATACAAAATTTGGTATCACGTGGTGCGATGAGGCAACGAGGGTAATAGACACGTCGAAACATCATAGTCATAATATGCATGTCATGCAAAATATGACTACGTGCTACGCTCATAATGTGTTCGCAATACCTTACTTGCTTCACATATACCTAATTCAGTATCACGTGTCGTGGATGGACGATAAAGGTAAATGACACGTCCAAACATGGTAATCATAATACGCATGTCATATTAATCATGACTGCATGCTACGCTCATAGCGTGCTCATGGCTCCTTCGCTTGCTTCACATATACCAATATTGCTATCGAATCAAGCTGGTTAGACGACAAAGGTAATCGACACGTCAAAATATGATAGTCATGATATGCGCGTCATGTAAAACATGACCTCGTTCTACGATTATAGAGTGTTTGTGGCCCTTTTGATATCTCCCCATATACCAAATTCGGTATTATGTGACGTAATCAAGTGACGAAGGTAATCGACTCGTCCAAACATGATAGTCATGATATCTACGTTGTGCAAACATGACTACGTCCTAGGCTCATATCGTGTTCGTGGCCCTTTCGCTTGCTTCACATGCACTGAAATTCGTTTTTACGCATTGTGAAAGGATGACGAATGAATAAGACAGGTGCACATGTGATAATTATGAGATGCGTGTCATGTAGGCACATGACCAGATGCCACAATCACGATGTGCTTGCGGCCGTCTTGCTAGCGCTCCATATAACAAATTTGGTATCACGTGAGGCCATTAAACGACGGACGTAATCGACACGTTTGAACATGATAATCATAATATGAATGTGATGTAAAACGTGATTACGTGCGACGCTCATAGCATGCTCACGGCCGTTATGATTGCTTCACATATACAAAGTTTGTTATTACGTGACGTGAATGTACGACGAACGCCAATACGAACGCCAATACCAGGCGCAAACATTATAACCATGATCGGAAAGCCCTGTCATAATATACGTCCGCCTCGTAGCAACGTGCTGATTTTAAAGGGACATAACCACCATCCCCCTTCTCGCTTCGCATATCATCGGTTCCCAGTGTACGTGGGATGAGCCTATTTTTTCTCCATTTTTTTAGGTGCAGTGCACGCTAGCAAGTAAAGCCTAAAAACAGATGCCACGCTTTTCGCAGCGACCAAAAGAACAAGAAACGTTCGGCTAACGCTGCAGATGTGTCAATGGTGTTTGCCAATACGCAACACCGTAGAAGAAGCTACGAATTCCTCGCGCATAGTACATACTGCCATCCCCAGTAGCGAGGGGGCGCTGCCACGTGGATGCCTATGGAAAGTTTGGAAAGTTTTCAGCTACTTGTACATGAAGAGTGTTGATAATAAGTGTAGGAATGAATTCCATTGTTGTCGAGCAAGTTATTAGACAATAACAGAATACGATGCCTACAGGAAGCATTGGTTAGGAGGAAGTTGAAGGACATAGAGAGGGACATTTGAAAGATTGGAATGCTTACGAAATCATTACTGGAGACCTATTGAACTTTCAAGCAGGAAATTGAAAAAATATATATCTACGGTAATTCTTGGAGTAGTTTTATGTTGTTCAAGGTCAGGACGGGAGTATGGCTGACCAAGGGTACCAAGCCCGATATGAAGGAACAGACACGTTATGCAGTGCATATGGAGAAGAGAAGGAACAGCTGAACATCTGATGATGTTCTGTACGTAAAGAACTTGACCATATAGTCCAAGATAAAGGCGCAAAATGTTTCATAGCATTGGGGTTCAGCGACAATGAAGATAAATTGACTTTAAACGGGTAGAAATAACCAGAAGGAGGCTAACAGATTGGTGGCTACAATGAACACGCGAGTGAAATTCAATCCTTCCACACATAGTGGTAGTACTGAACTTTATGACAAGGTGGAATCAGCCGCCGCCCGATCAAAAGGGCATAGTCGGATACATCCATCTAACTATACATCCTATTTAAGGGGATATAAAGCGAGGCTAGGGGTACTGAAAGCGCCCAAGATTATCTGTACGCTCCCTGCAGTGAAGTGTCCACACCTAAACAATTTTTCCTACAACATGGCCAGACCAATCGTATGAAGTGCCCATGCATGCGATGGAAACCAACGCGAGGCACGTGATAGCCTCAACATTTATTGACGCCATCATTTTGGGCTCTTTCAAGCACTAGCGTAGCTGTGTAGTCGCATACTAGACCGGCGTGCGAAAAGCCGAAGTGCCTTGACGTCTTTGCGGTCTTGAGTTTTTCGGTCCCTTTGTCTTTTCCTCATCGGGTAACGCTGCAGCCATCTTGTCAAAAATTTTTGCGACACAAGCCTGAAAACGCAATCGGCAAGGATTGTTTTTAAAGATGTGTCTGGGTTCATATGAAATGTCAAGTCCCTTTGGTCATGTCCTCGTACCATTCGCCTTGGTATCGAGTCATGTCCGCGTTCTATGGGCGGTGGTATCACAGGTCAATGAAGGAAATATTCATCAAATGCGTGACAAGCATAAGATTTTATGCATGTAATTACCTCTTCTTCTCTTCTTTTTCGTATTCTGTCTTCTTCTTCTTCTTCTTGATAGATAGATAGATAGATAGATAGATAGATAGATAGATAGATAGATAGATAGATAGATAGATAGATAGATAGATAGATAGATAGATAGATAGATAGATAGATAGATAGATAGATAGATAGATAGATAGATAGATAGATAGATAGATAGATAGATAGATAGAAGCGGTCGAGGTTCTCTTAAGCTTCGCATTGCGAAGTGGAGAGCGGATGCGCACCGCTAATATCTCATGACGCCTTGGACGAATGGCTTTATTCCTTTTTAAAGGCAGAACCGACATTACCATCGTTGGGCGAGCGACTGCAAGCAGCGCTGGTCGATTGGAATAGTATTTTATTATGTTTTTTTTTCTTCACTGTTGCCTTGCTGCGTTGTTCTAGTGGCCAAGGTACTCAGCTGCTGACCCACAGGTCAGCGGATCAAATTCTGGCTACGGCCACGGCAGTTTTGATGGAGGCCAAAGTGCTGTAGAAATACGCGCTCAGATATGGGTGCAGATAAGAGAACCCGAGGTGGTCGTAATTTTCGGATCATTCCAAACCAGCATCTCTCAAAATCATGCGATGGTTTTTGGGACTTGAAAACCCACATGTCCCATTATCTCATTTAACATTCTTTTCATACATTGCTGCAACATCTGGTCGTGCAAGCAGTCAGACTATGTTATTACGGTTAACGTTTCGCCATTTCCGTTGTGCAGCTATAACGGCGCACATGTGTGCGTTCAAACATTTTTCAATATACATTGCAAAAAGAGTGTTCTAGAGAATGTAACCTCTAACACCGGGGCACAAGGGCACTAACCACGTATAAAAACACGCTATCCGATACAAGTCACACATTCACTTGCGATCTCTAATGAAAAAGTAGTGTGCTGTCTGCCTCACAGCTGCCTGGTAAGTGCATAATTTTCGATTTTGTACAGCAAAGTGAGGTATAACGACTGCGTACGTAACTCTTAGTAAACAAATTTAATCATACAGCTTATAGATGGTTTGAATGACTCTTTTAGAGTGCATTATAAAAGCTGATTAGTGCTACGTACATTGCTATTAAAGGAACTTTCGCTTTCCGTGGTGGTACGGTGGTTGTTGTGCTCTGACCCGGAGGTCTAGGGTTCGATGCAGGCCGCGGCGGTAGCATTTTGAGGGAGGCGGAATATTACCTTTCACTGCAATGTTCGCTGTAACTGCACATTCCAGAACACTACATGGTGTACACTAATGGAGCCCTCCGCTAAGGTATCTCACATATACATATCTTGATTTTGAGAAGTTAATCATCACATATATTAGAAAATCATTTACATACGCCGTTACAAAGATGTGCTTAGCGCTAGCGAAAAAATATCATGAAAAATTGCAGTGACTCTTCAGACGTGAATGAGCTGAAGCTGTGAAGAGTCGGTCTCATTTTGTCTCTGGTTCATAGCACCACGGATCTCCGAAGATGCCTACTGGTTCCTCGCACAAAGTGCAAAACTGTACAATAATGGCTGCGTGTGTGAAGCCCACGTAGCAACGCAAAGGAGGTGGGTGGAAAGCTATGGCTTCTGCACGGTCACTATGTAATTAAAACTTACAAGCAAAACGCAAAAGAAAAGAGTATGATATACCTTGGGCGCTGACGACAGGCATCAAAGCATGACATAGCACTTGCCCCCTGAACACCTGAAGGTTCAGCTAAAGGACAGTGTTTTATGCGTTAATTTAACAGTGAATAAGCAAACAAGCGTAAATAAGCTCTTACATGCAAGTCACTTGTGTATTTGCACATTGCAAGTGGGCTATGAAAAAGAGTTTTATTACCTGGAGGAAGTGGTAGGGCTCGTACTGTATAGTTTTCTTGTGCTCCTTCTTTTTCGCGCTTATTTCTTGCAGCATGCCTATTTCAAGAAATATAAAACAGATGGGCTAGTTTATTTTATAGACTCGCAATGACAACTTCTTCATTTCCGTATAGTTTAGATAACGTAGAGAGGAAGACTGCTTTTCTGTATAGCTGAAAGTCTTACTGGAAAAGACGCGCTACTTTACCTCTTCTGAGGTCCTGCTGCACGTCTAAGGCTATATTGTTATCACGTCGGCTTGCATGTGAAAGGCAAAGAATAGCCAAAAGCCTGTATTTTGCAACGTGTACAGATGGATGATGAGTTATTTGGAGAAGGTATTTTCATGGAGAGTTATTTTCTATAAATTTTGTTCTGTTTCAGTACTTGCTCAATGAGGCAGACAGAGTGAAATTGCGAAATATAACAAAAAGCATGGTTCATCTTTTTTTCTCAGAATCTGTATGATACCAAAGAAAAGCTTCTCTTGTGAGAAGCCTTAACCATTATGGTGCATCGTTTCGTCATGAGGACGAAGGAAATATTGCTACAGCAAAAAAATTGCAAATCACGCACAGCACGTAGCTCAGGCATAAACACACATGAAATTAGCATACACAGGAAAAGCGTGTACTAGAAACTGTCACAGCTCGACACTTAAAAGCGCGCTGTTCAAACAGGAAGGGAAATGCGGGAAACAAAGCACACGTTTACACAGGAGAGCCGCGAACAACTCTCACAAATCCAACTTTGTGTGTGAGCAGCGTGCTCCTTTAACAAACGCGGCCACGGCAGCGAGTGAAGTAACCTTCATGTTTTCTCGAATCACGAGCCTTAAAAGGGCACGCGCAGGAGATGTCTTCCTGCTTGGAGGCGGTGCTCATCTAAACGCTAGAGGCGACGACCTTTAGAGCGCACCCAACGCAAGACCTTCACGCCATCTCGCTACTGATGATGAAAACGAGTTGACAATGCGGAGCTCTGAGGGTTGCCAGTTAATATATTGTGTATATAAATGGCTTGCTTTTAGCAGTCTTCACAACTACTGCTTCATAACTCCTTCTTTAACGCCACTTGCTCTAGTTTGAAAGGTCGCTGGTTCGGTGCCCCGTGGCAGAACTTTCTTCCTCGCTTTTTTTTATTTGCACTATTTAGTGCATAACTTTCAACGTCATATCCGTGACAGAAAAACAAGCAGAGCTGGGGTGGATCCTGGAATAAAACCATTTCGCGTTAAAAGAGAACTAGCACTTCAAGACGGGTGCTCGGCAAGCTCCTCTAGCGCCCGTTTTCCAGATAGAGCAAGGAACTGTTGAATGCTACTAGGACAGCTCTGAAACCTCTGTGTGAAAATATATGGCGTAAGAAAAAGTAAATTTAGCGTTAGCTCGTTAAGTTTCTTTTTTGACATTTCGCTTGTATGGTTTCTCTTTCCTACAAACTTCAGGTAACTGGGGCCATCCGCACTATAAACAATGCTTCGAAACATGTGCAAGACAGTGGACGGTTTTCTCATCAACGACTTCATGCATGACGACAACGTGAGATCGGCTCTAAACTACATGGCCCGACAGGACGATATCTTCGTGGTCAGCTACCCCAAGTGTGGGACGACATGGACGCAGTACATCGTGCTATGCGTGCTCAACAAAGGCCAACCACTCGAGGATTTCACGGAGTTCATGCTGCGCTCGCCCTTCCTAGAACTCTTGGGCGCAGAGTCGGCTCATCGAATGCGTCGGCCGGGACCTATCAAGACTCATTTCCCGTTCGACAGGCAGCCGTATAACTCGCAGAGCAAGTAAGAAACCTGCGCAGCTTCCTCTAAACGTATTGTGATAATATATTTGTAGCTGTTCTCTTCTTAATCGAGGATGTGTAAGCGTGAGGTTTACAGTCATGTTAAATGCTAGGCGGTGCGCTGAGCTATGACATCTGCATTTGGCCTAAGCACCGTGCCTCACCTAGCACCACACACGCGTCTAGCTATGACGTCGCTGCGCCGAAACCATGGTGATCCTCCTAGCTGTGCACAACCAAAATGGCACTCCAAGTTGCCGCTTCGCCCAGCTGTTCCGCTTCCCCGACTAAACATTTTAAACTGTTTCTCGCTGACTGCAGGCCACTTCCGGCTGTGTCGAAAGAGCATCGGATGTTATCGGCTGTTATATTCACACTCTGTTAGAAACGTTAAAAGCCTCTGTACGTTCTCGGAAATAAAGCTGCCAGCAGCGATAATGAATAAGTGCATGGTGAAAGAGCCATGAAAGCCCACGTCTTTTCCCAAAAAGCACTTTCTTAACACTTCTGCTTATCACCATGACCATATTGTGATTTTTATGTTTTACTAGGTAGAGGGCCCCCACTAAAGAGCAGAATCTTTTTCGATTTGGTAGCTGTATAGTCCACTCCCGAATGACGTGATAACATGAACATGTGCTGGCTGTTTTATATATAGATTGTTACGATATGCGATAATAAAGAATGCGCAGGTAATACTAGTTTTTAATGAGGCCTCCGAAGCCATTAGGTACCCACAAGAGAATAAAAAAACAGCGAATAAAAATTGCTAACATAGCTGTTGAGAAGACGCACAGTCGAACCTATGTCTTTCTATATGTATATCGCGGCGTCTTGCGTTTGCCCCTCCACTCAAAGATTACCTGCCGCCACTCCCTCACTCCATATACGTGTTTCGCGGGCAATAATTTGACTACCTTCCCTAGTTTTCTTTATTTGCCGTGTACTATGCGGCGAAATAACTGTGTGTAATAATTTCAACATTGTTTCGTTAGCGCAGAACATGACTACACAAGCCTGAACTGCGTTCTCGATATTGCCCTTATAGTAAATACGTGTGACGCTCTGCGTAAAATTACGATAAAAATAGTCTGCTTTACCTAACGAACTAGTCGCTACTCTTCACTTTATTATAAATGTATTACTTTGATATAAAAGTTTTTAAACACAATTGTGGAATTCACTGTCAAAAGTATTTAGGATGACCTCTGAAATAGTATTACCAATAGCTTTGTAACAAGGTTTTGTAGTGCGTTTGCTGAACGTAAGGCCTGTATATACCCAGTGACGGCTGCTGTATTGGGAAAAAAACTGATGCTGGTGCAATCTTCACAACGTATGTCTATTTGAAATGAGCACTCTTAGTTTATGATATGATGACGAGCTGACTGACCGTCCCATAGAAGTCTAACAAATTGAGAGCGTAGGTGGCAAAGTGGCTACTACGGCTCACTTCGGTTCGAGAATGGTTAAAGGAAAAAAATAATTAAAGGGAAGCAGCAAGGTAAATATGCGAGATAGAGTAAGCAACGAACTGTGAGATAATTATTAATGAATAGAAATATAAAGAAGAAAAGTAGGTATATAAATACAAAGTGGATAAAAAGAAATAGAAATAAAGATAAACACAATTAGCTGCGCATTCTCGTCACGCTTGGTACCATTTGTGCTCATGGTCCTACTTTCCGTGACAAAGTAGAGACAAATGAACTTTAGTGAAAAGATTTAGCTGGCATAAGCGTTGAAAATGATGGGATTGTGCAACATAACAATCAAGTTATGATTATATGGAAGACTAGTTCAACATAATCCCATTAACAAAAGCGCATTGAACTTGCGCCATGAAATAGGCGAATGTCTCTAAAGGATGTGGGAAATTAAGCTCGCATTTATGTTGAAATAGAGGTATAATCTGTAATTCAGAAACTGATGACGTTTTGCTCTGCCTTGTTTTTTCTGATGTTTCTGCCGGCAGGTACATATACGTGACCAGGAATCCCTACGACTGCTGCGTTTCGTACTTCCACCACGTGCGAGACTCGCCCGTCTACAACTACGCAGACGCAACGCTAGACGAATTCGTGGACGTGTTCGTCGAAGGGAAGGTCAGTTGTGGGGACTACTTCGACCACCTCACCTCGTGGTACGAACACCGAGACGACGAGAACGTACTCTTCATCACGTACGAGAGACTTAAGGAGGACATTGCAGGGTCAGTGCTGCAGATAGCCGACTTCCTCGGAAAGCAGCATGGGGAGGAGCTGCGCCAAGATGCCGCACTGTTCGCGAAGATCACTGATATGGTGAGCGCACCTAGCATGCGCCAGGCCTTCAGCTCGGGCATCAAGGCCGTCATGCCCAACCTGCTCTCTCTGCCACCGGAGAAAGCTCTGAAATCTGTAGAGGTGTACCGAACTGTGCTGAAGAAAAAGCGCATGTCCACCGTCAAGAGCGAGTTCATCCGAAAGGGCGTTGTCGGGGACTGGAGAAACTATTTGGAGGTGAAGCACATAGAAAAGATAAAACATTGGATTGCACTTAAAACGCAGGACAGCGATGTCATGAAGCCGTGGGAAAATATCGGGCTGCCATAAGTGCTTCTTGCCATTAAGAGATGCCTTAAGCTATGCTTGTCTGCGTCTAATTGAACCATTGGCAGTGAAATATACATTATGTAGCTAGCTCGTAATAAATGGCTAAGTAGTGAATACACTAACGCTGTGCTTTGCACTCTTTACTTCCCAGTCTTGGGCAAAAGAACGGGATTATTTCCCATGGACTTCGTTTATGTCATACACATAGAAGTCAGTATAACCGACATTTATGCATTAGACAGCAGCAAATATCACCCTTTGCTCACTTCAACATGAAACAATAATTTTTGTATGCTATGAAAAGTATTTAGCAAAGGTTTCTATATTAAAAAGAAATTATTTTTATGTTTAGTATATTTGTAAAAAACCTAGTGCTACTGTGTATGCCCTATCCCTATCAATTTTAGTTGTTATAAGGTAGGCTAAAAATCTGTGAAAATGCAACAAATTTGTGGCTAAAATTATTCATTTTTCCTTTTGTTGCCGTTACCGCAAAGCCCCGCAAGCTAGGTCACTCGCTATTAATACCCAAATAAGAAAACCGAGAATGAACTTGTCGAACTCACTGTTCTAAATTTCAGAACTAATTTTGATGAAATCAAATTTTACACTTATGAACGTATTTACTTTCAGCATTTTCACCAGTGTTTAGCTTCGTGATAATTTCTCTGCTGAAAATAGAAATAATCACCTTAATGAACTGGCACATGCCACCTACCTCCTCTTCTTCGTCCCCGTCTTCATCTGGCTTTTTCTCAAGACACGTGTATCGATTTTCAGTAACAGTGGCTAAACGAATGAGAAAAAAAGCTATTCTTGGCCCAAAACTTTCTTCATGAGGCGAGATTCGAACTCGCGCACGCTGAATCCGAAAGCGAGCATCCCAACCACGCGGGCCACAAGAGCACGCCAGCAGAGATTAGCAAAGCTTTGTTTATAATGCACTATAGTAAAAGCAAGTGACCATGAGCATAAGAGATGTGATAGAGAGAATGCGAGAAATGAGAGAAATCAAGAGGGAGAAACTGCAGCATGGAATCTATAAGAAAGTGAGGCATAAGTGCAGAAAGCATATATATATATATATATATATATATATATATATATATATATATATATATATATATATATATATATATATATATATATATATATATATATATAAGGGAAAGAAGTGTATACCTAAGGGCTCGTTTTTCCGTGTTTTAACACAATAATAATGAGATATAACAGACAGTAATGCCAAGGAATGTACAAGGGAAGTTATTAACATTAATGGAATGTAAATAAGAAGAAAGAAAAGTGGATGAAAAAATTACCAACTGTAAGCAGGAATCGAACCTACGACCTTCGAATTACGCGTTCGATGCGAGCATCGAACGCGTAATTCGAAGGTCGTAGGTTCGATTCCTGCTTACAGTTGGTAATTTTTTCATCCACTTTTCTTTCTTCTTATTTACATTCCATTAATGTTAATAACTTCCCCTGTACATTCCTTGGCATATATATATATATATATATATATATATATATATATATATGCAGAGAGAGAGAGATACCTTATTCGCATGCGAAGTCTGGACTCTGACCGAAACGTTAGGGGAAATGAAAGTATTCGTATGTTCATCATCTGAATCCCATTCAATTGCAGGGCTCACACAAAGCATACGCGTGCGATATCCACGATAAACCGAGATGGACGATAATCATACGCCCACGATGAGGATGCATGAATAACGCATGATGATGATGGAAATGTACAGATGAAGAGGATGGGCATGCGAAACGCCCGCGCTAATTCTGCCCGCTTGAATACGGTCAGCCTGGCCGCGGCAGGTCAACGGGACAAAAATTGAGGGCCCCTTAAGGTTCGCTTTTAAGAGCTTAACGTGATAGTAAAATCTGGCCCCTAGTGCACCCTTCAACCGCTAAGTGCATATTTATTAATATGTTTTGTTACATACACGCACACGCACACAAATACGCACACAGTAGATTGAACCAGCACGCGTTATTATCACCGTTTGAACTTGTTTTTGTCGTGACACCTGACGAACAAAATGCGTTAAAGGGGCCCTTAAACACTTTTTTAAGTAATTAAAGAATGAATTCACTAGAAGAGCTTATTGCCTCACGAATTTAACACCGCAAACATTTCAAGAATCGGTCCAGTACGAGTGGAGTTAAAAAGGTTTGTCGCAGGCTGCAATTGCAGTATCTCTTCTCTTGTCCCGACGAAAGCGCTAGACGCTAAGCAGGAAGGGATGGCAGGGCAAAGAAACCACCATGCCTCGTGACCTTGACCACTTTTCATTTTTGGATGGATGGATATGGCTGTACCCTTTAGAACGGGCGGTGGCTCGCGCCACCAAGCCGTAATACTTAATGAACCCAAAACTATATTTTATTTTTTTCCTTAAAAAAGTGAGTTTGAGGATTCGTACTTTGCAGTGAAGAGTTTAATTTTCACTCGTGCCTTGACTTTAGCCACCAATCAGATAACCTCCTTCTAGTTAAGTCTACTTGCTTAAAGTCTATTTTGCCCTCCCGGTCCCTAAACCCCAGTGCTTTGAAAAACTCTGCGCCATCATCCTGAACTATAGGGTGAAGCCCTTTACAGAACACTATAGTGTTCGGCAGTTTCTTCTTCCTCTCCACACGCACTGCATACTGTGTCTACCCCTTCGTATTTGGCACGTTATGTCTTGGTTCGCAGTACTACCGTACTTGCCTCAAACAGTAGAGAACTACCCGGAGTATTATCATAGATCCTTTCCTTGTCAATTTTCTGCTTAAAATTTTGATAGATCTCTAGTGCGGACTTCTTAATCATGCCCATTTTCCACATGTCAGTCTCCGTTTCCTTCACTTTCTTCTTAACCAATAGTTCTTTTTGGTTTGGCCACCTGCTGTTTTCTAAGTATTTACAGTGAACTTCCTGGTTCGCTTCCTCCATTTTGTATCGACATTCTTCATGTACAAGTAGCTGAAAACCTTCCTAGCCCAACGCTCCTCCTTAATTTCTCTCAATCGCTTCTCGAATTTTATCTTGCTGCTAGCTTCCCTGCCCTCAAATGATGTCCATCCCATATCACCTTGTCCTCCCTGATTTGGTGTATTCCCGTGAGCTCCTAAAGCAAGCCTACCTATTTCACGTTGCTTAATTTCTAATCTTGCTTGAACTTCTGATCTCATGCACAAGACCGCATTGCTGAACATCAGCGCAAGAACCATAACCCCTTTCCATATTCCTCTCACAGCATCATACCGATTGTAATTCCCCAGTGCCCTAATTTTCATCACTGCTGCATTCCTGTTACCTTTAGTCGTGACGTTATTTCGTGTTCCCTCAGGTACTCGGTCCCATTGCTTATCCATACGCCCAGATATTTGTATTTATCTGTTATCGTTAGCATGAACTCCTGTATCCTAAGCTCACTACCTTCGTTGTCATTGAAAATCATGACTGCTGATTTTTGCTTACTGAATCTAAAATCTAACCTATCTCCCTCATTACCGCACATATCCACCAATCTCTGCAAATCTTCCTTGTTCTTGGCCATTAGCACTATATCATCTGCGTACATTAATGCTGGTAGTGCCTGATCAATAAGTTTTCCTTGTTTGATTGAAGAGAGGTTGAAGCCCAGCCCACTTTCCTCTAATTTTGCCTCTAATCATTGTAGGTACATCATGACTAATAAGGGTGACAGGGGGCACCCCTGCCTAAGCCCCCGTTTTACCTCTGCAGGCTTGGATACCTGTTTTTCCCACTTTATAACTACCTTCTTACCTTTATAGATACCCTTTAAAAGATTAGTGACTACATGTTTCACGCCTAGTCTGTCCAGTATTCCCCACAATTCCTTTTGAACCACACTATCGTACGCTCCCTTGATATCCAAGAGTGCTAGCCACAGGGGCCTGTGTTCCTTTTCTGCTATTTCGATGCATTGCGTCAGTGAGAACAGATTGTCTTCTAACCTCCTGTGTTTCCGAAACCCATTCTGCAGTTGCCCCAGCACCCCCTCATCTTCTATCTATGCCTGCAGTCTTTCCTTTATAATCTGCATCGCCAGCCTGTAGACCACTGATGTCACTGATTTAGGACGGTAGTTGTTTATGTCAGCTTTGTCCCCCTTTCCTTTATAGATCATGCTCATCCTGCTAAGTTTCCAACCATCGGGAACTTCACCATTGATTATTATTTTGCTCACTGCCTCTCTCAAAGCCTGCTTAGACTTCAGACCTGATGTCTTTATCAGCCTAATTGGAATGCCATCTGGGCCATTTGATGTACTACTAGGAACCCTTTCCTCAGCCCTTTCCCACTCTCATTGTGAAAATGGAGCCATTGCACCACTTGATTCGTCCTTGTCTAATGTGGCGCATAAAGTACTTCTTCGTTGAAATTTTTCTGTCACCCTTGTTCTTATATATTCAATAGCTTCGTCCCCTCTAGCCTGGCACCTTGGGCTGTAGTTATAAAACTCTGCTCTAGGCTTGTCTCATTTCTTAGGGAGTTTAGATGGTTCCAAAAGTTCGCAGCTGCCTTTCTATCTTTTTTATGCACTTCTGCCAGCCACTGAGCTCCTTTTCTTCTAATCTTTTCATTGATCAGAAGGGATGCAGCCATTCTACAGCTTAGAAAGGTTTCCCATTTTCTTTCAATATCATCTCTCGGTTCACCCCGCTGCTTAGCATGTCTGTGTTCACTAGAGGCTTCCTGACGTTTTGCTATGGCTCTCTTAACTTCCTCATCCCACCAACTTTTGGGTTTGTGTCTTCTTTTCCGGGGTGACTTGTTAAGCGTCTTAGCAAGCTCTAGCTCAAAGAGTCTAATTAGATTCGTGTATGTCCACACTATCTTATTATCCTCAGTGATTACTTTTTCAATTTGTTTAGTGGCTATTTCAATTTGCCTTTCCGAATAAAAATTTTCGTGTAGTTGCTCATCTTGTCTCCTTCCCACTTTCACTGCTCTTCCAAAACTTAGCTTGATACGTTTGTGATCACTACCCAGACTTCTGGAGCCACCATCATCTATGTGCATTCCCCTGAGCTTATCATACATCTTATGTGACATCAGTGCATAATCTTTCGCCGACTGCAGCCTTCCTAC